TTGATATACCAGCAGTTTTGTAACACTGTAACTGATTAAGTAACTTCAGTAGTATTTTAAAAAGGAAACTTCAGAGTAGAGTTTCATGAGAATCAGAACCTTCCAAAATTTGTAGGTTGGGAGTTTGAAAGGAAAAAAAAATAGCAGTAACAAAGACAGAAAGAAGAGGGAGGGGGAGAAAGAAAACAAGGAGAGGCCATTCTATTGAAGGAGGTTGTTACTTTGCAGGATCACGAGAAGATCAATGGTACTGAAACTTGGGAAAATTGGGAAGAAGGAAGCAGGAGGTGGGTGGTTTTGACATACACATCACATTTCAGACATCATCTGAACAATCACATAGGGAACATGAGTCAGTAGGTGACGCGGGTCTAAATAAAGAACAAAGGTCAAGGATGGAGAGGGAGGTTTGGTAAAACCCTGGATGACTTCAAGTAGCAGAGCATGGCATGTCTTGAGAAATGCCCACAATGCAGGAGTGAAAACGTCAGTAGATGACATATAAAAAATATCCCAATAAAAAGAACCAAGCTTGTTAGCTTAGTAGCTAATACAAGGGAGATGCTCTGGCACAGATTTACTTCTTATAAATCTTTGGGCCATTCCAAGAGTACACAGGTCAGAAATTTTATGACTAGAAGCAGAAATACTTGTATCTGTTATGTTTTTTACACGGCACAAGCTATTTGTTCATATATCTCCCCCCCCCCCCGCCCCCCTTCCCCAGCAGACTAGGCAACCCTGGAGCATAGGTGGTTTCATGCTCTACATCCATGACCCCTCAGTTTCTAAGACATGGTAGGTACTCAGCTTTTTATTGAATTTTATTTTGCTACTGTATATAGTAAGCCAAAGGGTATATTTTTGGGCATAAGAAAAGCAGAGTGAGGAGATACACACAGTATCAAAAAATCATTTGCAGCTAAAATACTGCCCTAAGAAAATTAGATACATACTTAATGGATTTTTGGCCAGGTCCATTGAAAGCTACTCACTTCATTTGTTTCTTTTGAGCCAAGGAAGGTGGGAATTCTGACTGCTTTCATGCCACTGGGACTCATGCACTTGTATGCTGGTCAGCCTGACACTGTGAGGGAACAGATAACTAATAAATACCTCTGAGACACATTTCTTAAATGTCTTACATGAAATTAGCAATGTAGGTTTAAATTCCAGACACCCATATAATTTTTCCCTCCAAGGTCTTACTCTAAAGAACTTTTCCAACAAGCAAAATTCTTAACACTGTCCTCTTTTCCTGAACTCCTAATGTAGGCTATGCAAGTTGGTATGGTTACACTTTGAAGAGACAAAAATATTAAAAAAAAAAAAAAAAAAAGCACAAGGTTTTCTTTGATTTTAACGAGTAGACTTCGAGTTCACTTCCCTTAAAATATTGCCCCTGAATTGCAAATTACTTCATGGTCTTTTTTTAAGTGAGCTCTCTTCCTAGACTGACAGAGCCAGCTGCAGCATTGTGCTGTCTATGGAAATGATATCATCAGCACTCTGTCCTTGAATAAGACCACAATCATTACATTTGGCTCCTTTTCACATAGCAGGAACCGAAGAGATGTTTGTTTATAGCAACAGTATTCAGAAAGTTATCATTTCTGCACTCTATCAGTTGGCAGCTTAAAATCAAAAGAAAGTTTAGCATGAATTACCTGAATTCCCTTCTAAAGTCAAAGTAGTTTTAATTATAATACATTTAATACATTTGAAACAATTACTGTTTAAAGCATTCTCGTTTTCTAATTTTCAGTGTATTACAATTAATTTTGATACTAAGAGTAGAAAATTTTAAGAAATAATATAGTTTGCTTATATTCATTATTTATTGAATATATTTATATTTCTTATACTTCTGTTTTCCAACTTATCAATAATTAACACACTGTTAAATATTTGATACTAATTAACAATTCAACCTAATAATTATTAAATTAAAAAATAATTTAATAGTTATAACTAAGTCATTTTTAGACCTGATATAAAACTTAGACTTGTTCCCACAATCCCATTCCTTAGAGAAAGCTACTGTTAACCATTTGGGGTCATTCCCTTCCGACCTTCATTCATATATCAATTTTGCTTTTTCATAGAAGGGTTCTTATATTCATTTTAAGGGGTAGCAAGTTATTTTCTCTGAATCAAATAACTTAGTTTATTCAATCAAATAATAATAGAAAAAACAAAATATTTGAAATCCATATTCACCATGATAAAATGTTGTATAAATTTGTCCCATCTTTTATTAAAAGTTTTTATCTGACAAATATTAGTAAAAGCAGTCCATTAAACTATAATTTTAAATACAAAAATAAGCAAGTGACTTTATAATCCAAAAAAGATTTTACATTTTCTTAAAATAATTATTGCTCTCCCTAAAAAACATCATTTAAGTTTTATTAACATAAAGCTAAAATGTTAGCATCATTTATATGTACAGTATGACCATTAACTCCAATCTTATAATTTCTATCTTTAGTAAATCAATCCTTTCCATTTTTGGTCAATTATTTTCTGACTTTCAAAGATTGACTGTGAAACATTAATAAATTTAAAAATAAATGTAAAGTTTTAATTAAACTTAATTTTAATTAAACTGCTCTTGTTTTTACCCAGTAAATATTATGGTAACTAACAGAAAATGCATAGAAATAAAACAACTTTACCTGTTTTTTTATACAAGCATTCCACAGAATATCACTTGTGAAAAAGGGTTCCATTGTTTAAAAAGGTCTTGAAAACTGGTGAAGTTGAGGTTTTAAAACACTGGAAATATGCATAAAGTCATGCATACCGGAATAGCAGGCCTATGCTTACAACCCAGGCTGTGATCCAGTCCAGTAGACAGTTTACAATACCACCACACTTACACGAAAACTTCTTGAATCCCCCACTAGAAATAATACTTTTTTCTAATTCTCATTGCATTTTGCTTGTGTCTTTTAAAAATCACCATCTGAATAAAGATGATCTATGCTCAAGAAACCTTCAAAAGCAGTGAAATATCAAGATAATAAATTAAAACAGTAGTTAATCTTTAAAAGAAAAAAAATTTTAAATCTTTAAAAAAAATAAATGTTCATTTATTTTTGAGAGACTGAGAGAGACAGACCACGAGCAGGGAAGGGGCAGAGAGCGAGAGGGAGACACGAATCTGAAGCAGGCTCCAGGCTTTGAGCTGTCAGCACAGAGCCCGAAGCGGGACTCGAACCCATGAACTGCAAGATCATGACCTGAGCCGAAGTCAGACACTTAACCAACTGAGCCACCTAGGTGCCCCAGTAGTTAATCTTTTTATATCCACAACAATTGATGAGAATTCTATCAAAATCATTCAACTTTGCAATGGAGACTGCAATTGGTATTGTATTAGTTAATCAATTTTTATTAATTATCTTGATCTCTCTTCATAATGTCCCCAAATGTAATATTAGATGAACAAAAAGAAACAAAACCCAAGCATCTCATTTACTTATAAATTAAAAACTATTTTTGTATTCCTGGCCATCAAGATGATTCTAAAAACAAAAAAAATGATCCAATACTGCTTTCTAATTATCAATGTAATATGCCTGATATAGAATATTTAGGATACACAAAAGCATAAAGAATTAGAAAAATACCAACCATAATGCTATTGCCTTACAACAACTTGTAATAATATTATATTTTCTTCCTCTTTTTTCTATACTTATTTTGAGGTCATACTACATCTAAAAGTTTGTATCCATTTTTCCCACTTAACATGTCACAATCATCATTTCCCCATGTTATTAAAACCTTTGTAAAAAACATTTTAATCGTACATTTCATCATATAATTTAATATATCCCTTAGTATGTCAGATATTAACAGATGGACATTCAATGTATTTTTTGAATGAATTAGCACAGGACTTCCAACACTTATTTTATATCTGAACTGTATTCAATGTAGGGCTTAGGTAGGATCTGATAAAAAGGCAAAACCTTATGAACACTTAAGTCAATCCTCTTTACTGATCCTATCACAATAACTATAAACCATTTATTAAGGGAGAGTAAGGAATAGTCACTATTATCCACTCAGAGTACAGATAAGAATATCCTACAACCATTAGCTATGTTATTTTCCATCTTACCCACACAAAAATTTTGAACAAGAGGCACAAACAATAAAGTCTAACATATTCAACTAAAATTTTAAACTTTTATGAGAACAACTTAAGATACCATAAAAAAGGTAAAAAGATTAATGACACATGGCAAAAGATTAATATTCTTTAAAAGAACTTTCGCAAAGCCAGTAGCAAAATGTACAAAGGACACAAACTTTTATATAAAATGACCAAAAATCTATGAAGATATTCAAACTCAGTTATAAACCAAAGAAATGTAACTATACAGGTGAGGTATCACTTTTTACCCAGAGATTAGCTGAGACTTAAAAAAAATGAAACAAGTATCACTTGAAATAAACAAAGATGTGTTCCTGCAACTTAATAACTTGTTCATCAAAAGCAATTTTCCTACGAAAGAATGATGAAATGGGAATTCAGTCACACTTGGGAAAGAGTATAGTCCAAATTATTAAATTGAATATGAACTTCCTGTAAGACAAAGAACGTTTAACAAAAAAGTAAAAGAAATAGCATTGAATGCTGAGAGTTGTACACTGACATGCTGGCAGGAAAGCATCACTAAGAAGGAAGACAGGTCATCTAATGCTACATGATAAAACTGGACAGTATTCTTATCCAATGTTAAATAAAAGGGTCAGCTGGAAGAATATTTTATATATGTATGTGTGTGTTACACATATATGTACGTTACACATTTATGCACGTTACACATATGTATGTTACCTATATATACATACATACATACGGTTGTATGTATGTATGTATACGTTGGGGAAGACAATTGGGAAATATGTCATGTCTTTTAAAAGTCCATACACTTTGACACAGATACTTGACTTGTAGACTAAATGAAAACTAAATTCAAGTATTAATTGCAGTATTGTTTTTAATGGTGAGAAATAAGTAACAAGTTAATGTCCATCAACAGAAGACTGGTTAAATAAATTGGGACGACCCAAACAGCAAATACATCATTAAAATAATTTTTTATATGTGAAAAATGTCTATAGTATATTGTGGAAAAATTACAAGGCATTTTAGAATTCTATGTTCAACACACACACTCAAATATATACATGTCCATCCCAAAGTGTTGACACTGATTTTCTTAGAATGGTGGGACAATGGATGATTTTAATGTTCTTTTTGCTTATTATATCTCTTTCCTGGTTTTCTTATGTGAATTTTTTATATTAATAAACATGTTTATATGCTATAAAGATAATTATAAAAATTAAAGGGGCAAACTGGGAAGTCTGCAAAAATAATGATTAAAGGATTCAACTGATTTATAAGAAAAACACTAAGATTCTAATAATGAAAAGAGTGAAAGAATAAGACACTGAAATACACAGAAAAATAGTATCAATAAATAATTAAGTTCAAAATAAGACAACACGCTTATCCTTTTATTTAAGTGGAAAGGGTTTTTAAAAACCCACAATATTAATTAAATATGAATAGACACTCTGAAATCCCATATCATTTAATCCGAGTAGTTGCACTTCTGAAATTCTAGCCAAAAGAATATTGCTAACTACAAAAAAAATACTCCTAACTATGAACCAAGCTTTCAGTAGAATATGTCCATCACAATGTTCCTTGTACAAGAAAATAATGAAAATACAGCAGAATGTTATTTGGGAATCCTAAACCTAGAAGCATCCAAACATGGGAACTGTTTCAAAAAGATTTCATCCATGTCGATACAGAATGATTTGCTAAAATGTAAGGCATGTAGTGATGTGAATAACTGGTCATTTAAGCAAGTCAAAGTCCCAGAATCACAAAACGTTGCTACCAGTCATAAGAAACCAGTTCACAGGAATGTCAGAGGCTATTTTATGTTGTGAAAGTTTCATTCTTTCATGGGACAAAGGTTATTTAGTAGCAAAAGGGGGATACTCCAGATGTAAAAACAAAAAAAAAGGGCATAAAGATCAGGAAAATGATAGAGATTTTTTTCCAAAAGAGCTATTGCACCATTTACCATTTCAATGTCTGCAGATGCTTACAATAAACTCTGGTATATTCCTGACATGCCTAGCTGTCAATCCATACACGTTTCAAATAAATAAAATTTGTATATACTTATTACACTGCATGATGTTTTTAGGAACATCATTTTTAAGGAAACAAATCTGATTTCTATCACAAGAGCTAATGAGAAAAACATACAGTCACTTTCAATCCCGTCTGAAATAAGGCGGAATTAAATAAGAACTAAGAATTAAATCAAGCAGTATGTTATAATTACATAGGTAAGAAAAACCTATCTATGGAGGGAAAACCCACAAAAATATTAATAGTTCACTCATTAATTCGTCAACATATATAAATCAAACACCTCTTACATGCTCAGCACTGTGCTCAGTTCGGAGAGATACCAACTGGTAAACATAAAGACTCATAGTCACTGGCTGTCCTGGAGCTTACACTCCAGTGGAGGGAGACACACAATTTTCAAATAAGCATATGCATGGGAGTAACTCCTCACCCCCAACTTCTTTTCTTCATTTTTCTTGTTTACTATCAGACATTCTCATGAATGTTCACTTTAATGATACTCATTTTAAATGACCGGACTTTTCTCATATTTTAAGACAAATTAATCACATAAACTGGTCGCTATTTACCTGATTCATGGCCAATTCAAATATCCAGATGAAAAAGATAGAAAGCTCTGTATTTATTATCTAAGTTCCATAAGTCCCTAGAGAAGATTAGGACAATCTTTTCATCATTTGCATAATGCAGCTATCATATCTTTTCAATTGCATTGGCAGATCCCAGCCCTGGCCAGTACGTAAAGCTATCATCACTAAATCTAAACATATTCAGAGAATAAGTCAGAATAAAAACACTGACAACACAGATGTGTGAATAATAATTATAATTAACCCCTTCTAAAAGAAAAGGTATATGTAATAGTACATAATAGAGTAACAATTTAACCCATCTTTTTTTTTTTTTTTTCCTTTTTACTCAAAGCATAAAGCAGAGGCAACACTTCATCCCAGGTTAACATGCAACTTAAAAAAAAAGTTAATATACATATTAAACATGGAAATTCACAAGTAAAACCTTATTTGTCATTTCCCCCCAAACATACCTTAACACGATTCCTTTATTTCTTAATAAACAAGGCCCTACCACTGGTCACCTGACCAATGCCTTACATTTCTGGAGCTTGACAGTTTAGTGAGTTATGGACATAAGAACACTGTTGTAAGTATACTGAAGTAACACATCTGCAAAGCAGCTGATCAGACTGATTTACCAATCGAGGGGTCTCTACTCCAATCTGCCACTCCCTCCCAACCTCTGCAAAAACATAAATATCCTCCAGCCACCATGAAGTTTTCTTGTCAAGAAGGCCCTGAAGCATGATTTCCCTAGTTTTCTAACACACATCAGCAGTGATGAACTACAAAGCACCCACATGCTCAAAGATCCTTACTTTTTGGAATATTCCTTGAGTGCAAAATTTTCTTAGGATTCAGAGAAATGCAAGTTCAAAAAAAGATAAAGAGATAAGACAGATTTTTTTGCCTCTTCATGCATGCAAAGCTTGAGTTAAAACCTTTTATCATATTAGAAATTCCAATACAACAAACCTAAAAACTTTCAAAAGGTTTCCTAATTTCTTTGTTGTATTAAATGTGGCTTCAAGTATGTCAATAAACACAGAGCTCAATTTGGGAGGGGTAGATAGACTACTTACAACATATCTTCATCTAGGCTTCTCTAGGAAAATACAATAAACAAAGAAGACTATCTATAAGAAATGTGTCATCTTTAAAATCAATACTGTTAGTAAAATGTATTTTAAGCACCAATTAAAATTAGTATATGTTTTTCTCATCTCTAGCAACCAAAAGAGCCCTTCTTAGATGTAATTATAGCTTCCTCCTCAATGTGTTACCTTGAACATTAACCCAGAAAATATCTTTAAAAGTGCTCTGCAGGTATTACCTCCTCTCAAAAAACCACAGAGGGACAATATAAGAAAAGTCTACTCCAATCTAAATGGCTAGTTTAAGCAAAAATAATTAGAGGAATTCTGTATATCACCAATGTAAGAAGTTTTGGAGAAGAGAGTAGTATACAATTACTTAAAGTCATGTACACATTTCACTTTTCCATGCAAGATGACTTAAAATATAAACACAATGTGGTTGTAAATCACTGAAAATACCGTCAAGTCTCTGCCCCCAGAATTTACAGTCCCACTCTATGGTCAAAAAAAAAAAAAAAAAGGAAGGAAAGGAGAGAGAAAGGGAGGGAAAGGAGGGAGATAGGAAGGAAATATGAAAACATAATAGTCTATCAAATATTTTAGTTTGTAAGTAGAATCTAAACAAAGAGGAAGGATCTGTCTTGAGCAACAAAATGGATCAAGATCTAAATGATAAAATCAAAATTACTAACCACTAAGTATGAGGAGAATTAAGAGGATACTCTTATACAAGCAATAAACTTTTACTCAGGTTTTAAAATACACAATACAATCTTCTGTGTGAAAACTATTTAAAAAAAAAAAAAAAAAAGAAACAGTTCAGTTTTCTAGCCTCTGCAGTACCTAAAAGGCAATGGCGTGTTTTTATTAGGAATAAGAAAAAATGGTTTTGCTCATGTTTCCAAAACTATGGTTTGTTATCTAGTTTTTTGTTTTGTTTTTTTCCCCTCAAATAAAGCACAAATTGTGACTTAGAAATCCTCAGGGCTGTGCCATCAGTACTCCAAACATGTAATACCATAGAAAACACATATAATTTATTAGACGGACTTAAAAACCCACACAAATCAATTTTAGGCACTTCTTGGGTACAGACTATGGGCATCTTCTTTCAAAAAACAGGATATCTAATAGGCAAGACCATAAACTTTAATTTTTAGAACAATACAACAACAATTAGACAATTGATTTAAAAAATTGCATAAGCAACCCAACTGTATCCTGTTATAATTTCTTCACAATTCCACACACCATTTTAGGATTTAATAGAAACAGCCATTTTTTAGCATCGAAAGTTTTAAAACTCTCCTTCCTTTACTTCACCGATATGGTCTTAAAACTCATATATTCTTTGAGGAAGCATGATATACAAGTTCTACTTTTATATAGGTAGAACTTTAAATTAGTATTTTCTATACTGTGTCTATATCTATACAGAATCAACATATTATGGTTGATGATTTTGATGTCTTCTAAAGTCCATTTCAACAGGTTTATTTTGTAAAGATAGGCTTCTCATTACTAATTCTTTTAGACATCTAATGTTTATCTGTGTTCTTTAAGTAAACATGAGGAAAAAAACAGAATGTGAGCTATGGTTTTAAGGATATCTTCAGGGTAAATACTGCATATACATATGGTTTGGCATCTTTTTCTAACTCAAATAGTTTTATGGGTATCCTCCAAAATGTAATCGATTTTTGGTAATGGGAAGACAACATGCACATAATGTAATCCCTTCCATGCGTAACTAGCAGCTTAAGGAGCTGGCAAAGTCTAGGTAGTTCTGTTATCTTTCTGAATCTGCTTTTCAGCATATGAAGCTAAAATTAAGAAACATTAAAATGTTAAATACAGTATGAAGGATTTTACTACTGGCTTTTATTTGCTGTATACACAGCAAGCCAATCTTCTGATATACCCCACAACCCTGACAATACACTCTTAATGAGCAAAGTACAAATCAATACATAAACCCAGTAGTGGGGACACAGCCAAGAACTAGAGAACCTACTTAGAAACTGGTAGTTTAGGGAACAATGGCTGTAAGGCAAAGTTTAGAATACCTCCAAGACTGAGTAACATACCTTCACTGCTTGTGAATGAAGATACAGGAGAGCAAGGGATGGCTGAGCTATGAGAAAGCTGATCCTGAAGCAGGAAGTTTTAGAGTACATTTGGACATCTGGGAGGGGTTACTAAGTCATGCAAAGAAACCTTGCCTCTACCCAGCCTTGAAAGAGGGACTGATGCCAAGATACAACTGGGCAATTGAGAGAAGATGACCCCAAAGTCCACAGGATAATCTGGGATGTGCTGCTATCCTCTATATACAAAGTAGAACACATTACAGATATATTCCCAAAAATGCCTGCAGAGAAAACTAGAAAACTGTCTATAGGTTTTCTATTTACATTAATATAAACAGATTTTGAGGTTGTCTGTACTGTATGTGGTTGCTATAGTCACAGCAAGAAATATAAAGTGCCTATGAGAGAGGACAATAAAATCCCATTTCCAGGCATCTTAATTCTATACACTCAGACAATAAAGAAAAGAACATCTCAGGGACTTCCTGCCTTTCCTCAAGCTCCCTGTATTTTCTGTTAACTACCTACTAGGCACTTCGTAAAGGCCAGAAACAACACTCTTCCATCTCATGCCACACTTCTAAAATCACTTTAACTATCTGCATTAAAAATGCCAGCCAGCAGTGCTAAAGCACTTTATTCTTAAGGCAAAATGTCATATTCCATACCCACTTCCCCCTGTCCCCCAAACCACCTGCCTTCACTTAATTCTTTGCTCATCATGAGAGCCAAAGAAGTTAGAAAGAACTGAAAATTTTCAAATGAGACTCCTCAATATAATGTGTAAGATATACTTTATAAATGCTATTATCACAAAATTAAACACATTTAAATGCTTATAGCATATGGTTACTTTCATCAAGATATCAAGAATAACTGTATGACTTTCAAAATTAATATCAAACACGGGATATTTAATCCAGCCACATGTACAGGGGTATGAGGCTTTGTTCTTTTCAGAGGTAAGCACAATGACTCTAAATAAGATGATTGTTTACCCCCAAAAGTAGCATATTAAAAACCAAAAGCATTGCCTTTCACTTAATTCTACTTAAACTACATATAAATTGCCAATATAACTATTCATAAGGCTCGTCATCATATTTGGAAAGAATACTGTTAAAATTATCTTGATGTATATTTATACATGAATTAAAATTTTTTCCTCATTGTAATTTTGGTTTTATGTACAAGCATACAGGTACAACCTTATTTCTAATGCTTGGCCTAGAAGGGTAGAATGTCACAAAAAATCATGTTTCATAAATGTGGTATAAGACTTCATGCATTCCCATGATGCCATGTCAATAACCTACTACACTAAACCAACTGTAACAATGCAGTGCATGCTTTAAACATCCAATTAAGAATAAATTTTAGCCAACAGCTTGTCGACAAGGGAATGTGCTGGTATACTGCTGAATTCACATGGCAGTCACCCACAAGACTAAACCATGAAAATTCAAATTAAAAGATAAAAAGGGTAAAAGATGTAGATTTGCTGGACTACTTTACAGAATATTTATCTCAGATGAAAATGCAACATCTGCAAAATGGACTTGGGTTTTTAAGGGAGTTTTTAATATAAAACAAGTGATTCCTAATAGTGATTTGGAAAAGTATGAGAACATATGAACAAATAAAGCTTAGTAATTTAGAATTTAAAAGCCAAGTTGACAAGTATTAAAATGTTATACTTGCATTATGAACATTATAATATAAATATAAAACACAAAACATCCACTGTTAAACACTGATCTCCCATGCCTGACTTGGATTTAGCTACTGAGTATATTATATTTTACAGAAAGAAACTTTCAAAGTTTTGTCAATGCTTGTAGTATATACTATCACTCCTCATCAAAATGTGCGTGAAATCCAAAAGGCTCATATTAAAGGTAGTTACTTCTCTTTTGAATATTCTAAAACATGCCACTTTGGATCAGCCTTCAGATTTTCAGGGCATGAAACATATACAAAGAGAGTACCCAAAAATATGTGTGAACACATTTAGGATAAGTCTGTTTACAATTACAATAAAAATACCTTCAACCTTCATATCTTTCCATTTTCAGTGAAAAACAAAATACCCTAACCAAACATAAGATATTTGGGGCCAAGTTACTTCTTTGTAAAAATAATTTATCATGTGTTGATCGACTTTTTAAACCAAACTCTTAAAAGCATTAAAAAAATTGTGTTTTATAGCTGTCGATGCATTCACGTTGGTTAGTAAGAAGTGAAAAAGAAAAAAGTGTAGAAACAAAAAAATCTCAAACTATCCCAACTCCAGAAATAAGAAATTTTCAAATTAAGAAATAACCTTTGTTGCTTAGAAAATAAGTACTTTTCATCTCAAACTCACTCTAAATGCTTGTATAATTCAATACCTAAGAAGACTCTAGGTAAATTATTTTGTAATATTTATAGGATGATACTTCTCTGGGTAGGCATATTTTACACAATAGCTTCCAATTAATGCGGGAAAAAAATCACTTGATAATTTTAATAATTAATGATTGACCGATTAATGGATTAACATTTTTCTCAGTAATTCAGATGGCATAGATCCAACAAAGGGAACAAGGATTGCTCAATGTGAAATTCTGTCCATTCGTAACACTAAGCCAAAAATTTGCAGATACTCCACTCAGATTACATGTTTTCATGTATGTAATTTGAACAACAAAAAAATAGGTACAAAATGTCGGAGCTTTCTCCTTTTCTTTCTTTTTCGTTCGTTCTTTCTTTTTTTTTCAGAGCAGTTCAATGATTTTGGGGGTTGGTTAGTACAATACAGAGAACACAGGGGAAAGCACAAAATGGCACTTAACACCACTGCCAGTACTCATCTCATTACGGTTATAACTAAGGATAATATTACCTTTTGTGTTATTTGCTTTTCTTCAGAACATAAATCAAAGCCATAAACTTGAACTTGAGGTATATATACAATAGATACACGACCTTATGCAAAATACTTTTCATAAGTAACCTTACATTTTAAAATATTGGAAACTGAATATCTGTGCTGATTTGTATTCTGACTTAATGGAACAAGAAGAGAACAACATTCAACTAGGGAGGCCTATACTGACAATAAAGCTCTTAAAGTTAGAAATGTCTCCTTCTCCCTTTGTACTTACCACAGGCTACACAATGTCCTGAGAGGATTCATTATGAGAAAAATGGCAATCACAGCTTTAAAGACCTTGCTTTGGAAGGGACTAATGAGAAAGCAGATTGGAAAATGAGACTTCATCTTTGTTCTCAAATAAGTGGTCTTAATTATTCTTCTTATAGAAAAAGTTTAAATCAGTTTATTATAAATATATCTAAACCATTAATTTTTGCAGCTTTCAGATAAAGTCCAGCACTTCGTTTATACAAAGTCTATGAGAAGAGGTCAGTAGAGATCATCTAATCTTAAGTCGTGACATCATCCATTCAAGTCCTTGGCATAATCTATAAAGAATATAAAAATCACTTGATTAAATTCAACTAAAAAACTATGAACAACAAACTAAAAGAAGATACCATTTTTCATTTACCTAAACAACGATTAAAAAAATCATTAATACCCAATGTTGGTGTTACTGTGGTGAAGCCATACTCTCATACACACATCCATGCTTTTTTTGGTTCTTTTTTGTCTCTAGTGCCTAGGACACTGTCTGACACATAAAAGGAGCTGAGTAATTATACAATGAATATCCACAGAAAATAATTTAGCAATGTGTATCAGAAATATTTAAAATATCAATACTCTACCTTTTTTCTACTTCTAGAAATATATTCTAAAAAAGCCATCAGACACAAGGACAGGTTGATGTATAAGACTGTTCAAAGCATTTTTAATGGGTAAAGGTAAAATTTAACTACTTAGAAATAGAGAAAATTAAATTATAGAACATTCATATGATGAAATATTAAAAACTTCCTTTCGAAGACTATATTACAGTATGATAAAATGCTCACGATATAAATGAGGTAAAAGTGGCAGGATACTAAACTAAATATGTAGCTGAGCTGCTAAAACAAAGTATATTTATAATATGTATATTACATCTGTATATTTAAAAAATTTGAAGGAAATAAAGTTTCTCATCACTAATACTAGTTACTATTGAATAAGGTGTAATTGAACGCAATGTAAAATACAGAAAGAAATGTTCACTATGATAAAACAAACTAAATGTTTACCAAGAGTAAAATTATATTATAACAAGAAGAAAGACTGTTAAAGACTGTTATATAATTATCTATGAGGAAGTTTGATAGGTATGAGAAACCATGCTACCGCACTTAATTGAAAAACACCACAACCCAGATTTTTTGTGGAAGTATGAATCTAATATTATAAAAGAAGAAAAAAAAGAAATCACAATGAGGTTAAAAAAAATGGTTATTTCGGTGTTGGCCCATACTTTCCCTCCTGTTACCAGATTCCTTACTTTTAAACCACTAACAGGAAATGGTACAAAAAATAAGCAAACAGATTAACTCCAAACTGTTAAATGAACAGAAGTTACCTAATAGCAAACTAGAAACCATGCTAAGCATTTAATATCCATTATCTTAATCTTTACAATGTTGAGAACAGAACCCTTCCCATACTACAAGAGGGAATCCAGGCTTAAAAGATGCTAGCAAATGGTAGAGGTGGGGGTCAAAATGCCAACCAATACTAAAACCAAGAATTTAGATCAAGGTGGCTAGACTGCAGAAGGGAAACATTTTCACCCAAACCAAACATTTCCACTTGATAACTACTGCAAAGGGAAGCCCCCATAAACCCAAAAATTGAAAAGATATACGATCATTCATTGATTTCCTCTTTTAAGAATGAAATTGCCAAGGTTCATATCCATCCTAACTAATGACGTATTTTCCACACAATTACTCAAAGTATGTAAGTCAATCATCTACCAATTCTAGATGATCTTCTTTGCTGTCAAATTTATTAAAATCAGTGCTTTTGCTTAAAGACCTTTGGTAGACAAAGACAATGTATAAAGATATATCTATAACTATAAATGTATCTTAACATGTATTAAATTATTTGACAAAGAAATATGCAATGGATAAGGTATTTTTTTTTTTTTTTACCTAAATGAGGATGTGGACAATTGGTATTATTTGTGATTTTTTAAAATGCACATATTTGCTTTCTTAAGGTTCTAATTATGCTCTATCAAATGTCTGTCATCAGGTAATACTGCCTTCTAGTTCACTAAGATTCAGCTTCAGCTCCATTTAATTCGTTTTTTCTCTGCTTTTAAATACATACATGAGTGATTCTAAATAGAGGTCTTAAATTTGGGGTTGAGGTTCTTCTGATGTTAGGTTAAGAGCAGAAGCTTGAGGCAGACACAGATGAGTTAGCTGAAGTGAGAGAAATTCTCTTCCTCACAAGACCAGGGTAAAGGGTGAACCAATATAACGGATTACTGAAGCTATCTTATCTCTGTCCCGAGCTTCTGCCCTTTCCAAGTACCTGAAGAACCTCAACTTCAAATGTAAGACCTCTAATTAGAATCTTCATCTCCAATTTATTTTTCACTGCTTTTAAATATATACAGATCCACCATATTTTGGAAAAACTACACCAAAAATCTTAATTTGCTCATCTTTCTAGCTCTTTATCCTATTTCTAACCTCCTTTATTCCATCTCTCCTAATAGCATTCTCTCCATCCTCCTGATCCTTGACCTTACATTTGACAATGCTGACAACCACATCTTTCTTGAAATCCTTTCAGGTCTGGGCATTAGACTAGGGCAAAATTCTACTGTGGGCACCTACCTTTCCTTCCCAAACCAGGAACCTTCATGCCACACTCTCTCCAATTCTAACTTTTTTTTTTTTTTTTAAGTGCAGCGACCTCCTCTTGACAAAATGAGTGGCAAAATGGTAGCAAAATGAGTACTCCCAAATTAGTCTTACATTTGAACCCTTTTCTAGTTCAGCTTCTTTATGGATAAAATGCAAACTAAAGACACCTGGTCCACCAGATTGTTACGAGGAATAAATGATACACCTGATACATGATACACCCTATGAAAAGCACTGGAGACACAGACTTGCTACAGTGTTAAATCCCACCATCAGTGCACAAACAGTTTCCTGACTTGTCCAGCTCTCCTTCACACTTCCATTTCCCTGAACCCCTACAGCAACTATATCATCTACACGTTCACATGGATTTGTTCAGTATGTTCATATGTATTACATGTATGTTACAGGTTTTATTTATAGAACCAAGATAAAACTCTAATTATAGATATAGATTATCCCTTACGTTGTTTTATACATGGTAGCCTTAAATATTTATTGACTTTAAGAAAAAATACATGTTTGTAAACTAAATACATGTTTTCTAAAAGACCTCTTACCCCTCGCCAGTAAGAGCACAGCATGCTTGGATATGCCACTGGTGATCTTTAATAGAAGTTAATTTCAAAAACTGGGAGATTTCTGCTACAGTCATGCATTCTTTAACATCTTGTTTATTAGCAAAAATCAGCAATCCAGCTTTTCTTAGGTCCTATAAAAGCAAATAAAACTGTAAAAAGGCCAGTGCATTTTTATTCACAGATTTTCCAACTTAAACAAATACTTTTGACAATCTTTTAACCTAGAATTCGACTACCTGACATAAAAGCATCTCACGGCTCTGATGCTGATAGATGGCAAACTTAAAACTAAGCACATTTTAAATAAACACGTCTGTATTTGTATGGATTTACGTATTTCTTATAGCCCTAAATTACATTTTTTACGGTCCCAACTGCTATATTTAACAATAGTCATGACTTCAAATACATATTTACCCCTTCCCCTAATCCAAAACTAGGTTTCCATGGCCAAGAGCTACTCTTTAGCCTGGCACTCAAGAACTTTTCAAAATTTTACCCCTATCTATTCTTTAGGTACCCATACCTAAAGCTAGTACCTTCTAGGTGCCTAGGAAACACACCATGTATGCCTTAGGGCCTTAGAGCTTAATTCTCAGTTGAGAAGTGCTATCCTAAACCAATCCTATTCTTCTGAGACCTAGCTCCTTTTTGTCCATGTAGATTCCTTAGATTTGAATATTCAATACGGCCATTTTGGACTGGCATTAAACTTATCAAATTTCCCAAAAAGACAGTAAGTTCTACCACTTCTATGTTCTGCCTCTGAAGCAAATTCTTTAATCTTACTGAATTTGTTCTTCATAACATTTATTGAGTATCTAATCTGAGCAAGACACCCATTATGTTAACCATTTTCCAAATAAAATCTCTTTTAATACTCACAGGATTCCTGCAAGGTAGGCCTTACTATTCCCATTTATAGATAAGGAAACTAAAACTCAGCAGTAAGTAACTCATACAAGGTTATACAGCTACTCAATGACAGAACCAGGTTTGAGCTGAGATCTTTCCACTATACCTGTTGCACCTCGTCTATAAAATTCTGAGACTATCACCTACCTCCTGCGGATATAGTTTGAATGAATGAACTACTACATGAAAAACACTCAGTTCAGTACCTGGCTTCAGGTAACAGTTCAGTAAATGTTAGTTCGCTTACTGTCCTGAAAACGTGGATCACCTTTATCTTTGTGCATACCCCAAACTGACTGGTCTAATGTTTTATTCACAAAGCAGGCCAATGGTTAGTCATCGCCTTTTGCTCTATCCTACCCTCTCCTCTCCCATTTTTAAAGACAGAAACTTCTTTCATAATCTGCTGAAAGTCATGGACCTTTTCCTCATAAAAATGTATATATGTATATACGCAAAAAAAAGTTTATATGTAATTTTAGGGTGTTAATAGATACTCTAAAGTCCATTCATGGATCCTAGATTAAGAACCCATGATAGATGCACTCATATATATGTGTGTGTATAGATACACGTGAGCGCGCGCGCGCACACACACACACACACACATATATATGGAGAGATACTGAGAAAACTAAGGTTTTGGTGCTGTGCTTGCAAGTTTTCTCAACTGTGCAGAATGACATCTTTATAGGATATTTTTATTTCAATCGTGTGTATCTGTGTCTGAAATAAGAAGTCTTTAGTAGATACAAATTGACATTGCTCCACATTATTTTACTCTTATGAGAACATAGTTTCAACAATTTATACGATTTTATTTCTGATGTCAATAAAAAGTATAAATAATAAATTTCTTATTTGATAAAGGAGTCATGCAAAATGTTTTATACAACAATCAAGACAGACTTTTAGCTACAGCGCCCTCTCCAGGATGGCAGCTATGCTACCATGGTTAATGACAGTTACCTGAAAAACAGGGTCAGAAAAGGATACTCTAGAATGTTAAGTTTTAAGATTTTATGTTCAATTTATTTCACCTATGTTCAGTTCACCTGTCTTATAAACAAGGCAAAAAGTTGAAGGGATGGGCTATAACCAGGATATCTATTATATTCATTATCAAGGATCAAGTACTTTTTCTCCTACCCTAAACGGAAAATAGCATACTTATCAATAGTTGATATGTGGCTGGATCACTGAGTAGATGGACTTTCCATGGAATGTAATCCCTATCTTCCTATCTCCCAGGTTTCAATACCTCTTACTAGTATATGCTGAAATCTTATATAGGTCAGGATTGCTAATGCTGGCATGTTTAAAGAGCACATTTCTGACATTAGAAATACCTGGCACAAGTTGAAACACATAGTTTATGCGATTTTATTTGTATATAATCTATACTCATCACTCTTAGTGATGAAATTATTCGAAGAAGCCCCTGGACTAAAAATTGAAAAACAAAAAATAAAGCCATTCTATTGAAAGATTTCAAAGTAAAACCCATATTGAATATAATTTTTCTAGATTTCATAGGTTCAAGTTTTTTTATTTGGAGTTCTTGTTTTTTTTTTTCATTTTTTTTAAGTTTATTAATTTATTTTGAGAGAGAGAGCGCATGTGCATGTGTGCACAAGCAAGTGGGGACAGGCAGAGAGAGAGGGAGAGAGATTCCCAAGCAGGCCCTGCGCTGACAGTGCAGAGCCCGAAGCAGGGCTTGAACCCATGAACTGTGAGGTTATGACCTGAGCTGAAACCAGGAATCTTAAATGACTGAACCACCCAGGTGTCCCAGGTTTCTTGTTTTAAAAAAACAAACAAACAGCTATTTTCCCTATTTTTAAGCAGTATTTAGGAAGAGAAGAAAATCTTCCTTTACTTTTTTTATTAAATAACTTCAGGATCAATTATACATTATGCTAACAGAAAAGAGATATACTGGATTAAGGCTGTTCATCAACTGGACTTAGCAAGAGGTCAAAGTACAAGGTGAACAGTGGTGATTTTTATCTATTAGCCATTTTAAACTTTGAAAAACTTTCTGCTACCTGTTACAGATTGTTGTTAAGAGTCTAAAAATATTTTTTCATTTAGTGAAGAAGATGAATAATTGCAGCACACGCAAGACATATTTATTTATCATCTTCCATATGCCTTATGCAGTTGTCAATATGTTTCTCCAAGCTTCATTTGCAAAGATAATTCCTAGAAGTTGAGTTACTCCAAATAAAACGTCATCTACCCTTTTGTGTTTGGAATGATTTTAAAATTCATGAGCTTCAAAGTTTTGCACTTCATTTAAGATGAAGCTTTCAGAAATATTTAAAATCATTTTATAGTTTTATAGTTTTGTATTCAGTAATACAGGTAAAGCATCATTAGTGATGGTAAAAAGATTTTGTTGGTTGCTATGATATATATGAAACATCTGACTAACCCCATGTCAAAATTTGTCTTTCACTCACACATTCTCATTCTTTGATCCATTTGCCCCTTTTCAGATTTCTGCCTATTTGGCTCTTTCTGACCCTATTAATTGGTTTAATCCAGCTCCCAACTTCATCTGTAATTCCTTTCTTCTCTGGCACTCTCCCCATTCAGTCTCTTTCACTTTCCAACTAGGCCTTATTTCTGTCTTTTTTTCTTTTCTTCTTAGCAAAGAGTCTGAATAATGAGAATATTTAAGTTGAAATCCTGGCTCTTAAAAATCTGGTCAAGTCAAATAAATTTGCAGGACCTCACTGTACTCATCCATTACAGATGAGTAACATCCACAAGAGAGAAAGTGACCAGCTCAATTTAATGTCCCCAGCTAGTAAAATTCAATGACTTTGAGTCCTACTACTGAGCTCTTTGATCCTGCTATACATTGGCCAATTAGAACAAGGATCAAAGAAGAAGACTATCTGTTAAGAGTTTAAAAAACATACTCAAGGGGCGCCTGGGTGGCGCAGTCGGTTAAGCGTCCGACTTCAACCAGGTCACGATCTCGCGGTACGTGAGTTCGAGCCCCGCGTCAGGCTCTGGGCTGATGGCTCAGAGCCTGGAGCCTGTTTCCGATTCTGTGTCTCCCTCTCTCTCTGCCCCTCGCCCGTTCATGCTCTGTCTCTCTCTGTCCCAAAAATAAATAAACGTTGAAAAAAAAAATTAAAAAAAAAAAAAAAATAACCAAAGATACAAATACATTTGTGTCTTCTTTTTCTTTTTCCTAAATCTTCAAACAACTCCTTGGTGTAAAATACAAAAGGAAAATTGAAAAAAAAAAAGAAAATCCTTAGTTTTCTACCTTTTTTATAGTTTATTTTTTGTTTCCCAAACTAGAATCAAAACTCGTTAAATGCATGAATAGCAACAGGTATTATCTTTTTTAAAAACCCAAGGGGTTTCACAAAGCTGCCAGAATGAATCCAAGACAGGAGAAGGTGCATCTTGGTGGGCGTGATCATCACATGGAAAACAGAACTTCAATTTATACAACCACTTTATTAGGTGTCCTTACATCTTGACTGGATGCCAGAAACACTCCAAAATTCCTAATGCAAATCTCAAAAGCAAATCATCAAATCAATATTAAAATTAACATAAAACTTCCTTACAGATACACCGGCTTTTTTTAAGCTTTGTTAAAATTCCACTAAAATTAACAGTTACACATACAAATCTAAACATTAATTTTTCTATTTCTACCTATAAATATGAGTTAAGAATGTAATATCTGTTGGGTTCCTGGGTGGCTCAGTCGGTTAAGCAGTCAACTTCAGCTCAGGTCATGATCTCAGTCTGTGAATTCAAGCCCTGCATCAGGATCTGTACTGACAGCTCAGAGCCTGGAGCCTGCTTCAGATTCTGTGACTCCCTCTCTCTCCTGCCATCTCCCCCACTTGCACTCTGTCTCTCTCTCAAATATAAATAAACATGAAAAAAAGAGTGTAATATCTGCAATAAAAGGCACACACAAAAAAAATCAACTGCTACTACAGTAAATATTATATGATTTTATAACTTATTATTAACTATATTGTTTAGTTTATTTCATTTTTAAATCATGCTACCTATAATAATTCTCAAAGACTAAGAAAATGTGGCTAGTCACGTAGTTTTGTTTGTTTACTCAAAGGGACAATATCAGAGAAACATAAGAGCGACAACATTTAAGTATTAGTCTGATAACTGAGTTACAATCAAGCCTTACTAAATGTCCATGAGACCTTAAAATCTCATTTCTAGTGATAACCTTCTATATAATTATTGTTATAAAAGGCAAAATGAAAGCCAATTTAGGTCTTTTCACCCAGGAAAACTTTAAGACCAAATTAATCTAGGATAAAAGAAATAGAAATCTATAACTGACTCCACAATCTTTCTGTTGTTTCCAGATACACTTCCAACTTGGGAAGTATCAAACTGATAAAGCAGAATGGCCAACAGATTTAAGCCCATATTTAAATCTGAAGTACGGGTGCTTGGCTGGTTTAGTCAATACAGCATGTAATTCTTGATCTCAGGATCATGAATTCAAGCCCCACACTGGGCGTAGAGCTTACTTAAAACAATTTTTTTAAAAAAATTAATAAGTAATATTAATAAGTAATATTATTTAAAAAATAATAAGTAACAAATAAATAAATATTTGAAGTAATATCGTAACAAGAAAGTAGAAAGAACAAATGTGATAGCAATATCACACACACACACACACACACACACACACACACACATAATGCCAGAATTCTACTTACCTCATGGGCTAACATTTTATAGAGTTCTTCTCTAGTTACAGAAATTCTTTCTCTGTCTGTACTGTCCACAACAACAATTACAAACTAAAATAATTACAAAAAAATAGTGATTACACAATTCAATATTCATAAAATTTATAAAGTACTTAATTGATTTACAGACCACAAATACCAAGAAATTAGAGCCTCATGGTATGGTATTACTGGAAAACCAGAGATACCTTCTATATACATTGTGAAGCCTGAAGGTTTGATCCATTTCTATTCAAATATCATTTGCTAATTTTTAAGAGAAAATAAGAGAAAAAAGAATACAATGCTAACACTATTAGAATGTTAGTTCTACTACTCCGTTAATATTCTACTCCATTAATACTACTCCGTTAGTATGCTAACCAATATACATGTTTGTTTCTAAATTAATGTCTTGAATGGTAATGAGCTTGTATCCAACTATGTGCACCACAGTCAATATGAAAAAAATACAGTGAAGCTAATATAATGTTGTAATTATAATAACACTAATTAGACTTTAATAAAAAAATCTTACTGAGAAAAAATATGAAAAAGAATACATTATAATCCCAGATTTTAGATATTTCTACAGATATTATTTATTAATATTGATCTGAAACTCTAAAAGGGCATGATATGGGAGTAATGTGACAGTTAAATCAACTTTTAAAAATCAACAAATGAAAGAATACATTTAAATCCATGCTTCTCTTGTTTATGTAAATGGTACCTGCTGCCTGCAAGCACAACTCTTTCTTGAACTAATGATGAGACTAGGGTCAGAAGATGTAGTGAGACCTGTGAAGGAGCCAAGGAGGACTGAGCTACACTGTACCTCTTCTTCACCTGCACGAGTACCAAGAACCACCATGGAAGCAGAACCCGAAAACAGTCACTTTATGATGGCACTGGTGATGCCCAGGTTAACTCTGCTTATAAAGAACAAGCACTATGGATTTTTTAAAACCAGCTTTCCATTTCCAGATAAACCACTGTTAATTTTCAGAGTCTTTTCTATTTATCAGATGTCATTAACCATATGGCAGATGGCTAAGAGAACTGCTACTTTACCTCTTCTCTCACTTGACACTCACCTAAGACCCATCCTATTCTAAGGCATTTTAATAAAACCATTAATTTTTAAGATGTTGTCATAAATTTGATACTTGCAGCATTATACACAGAAATACTAACCATATATACCTTTCCTTCTCCAAAATACATGATCAAATGCTTAGCAAAGTGTTAGGGGATCAGGTCATTAGAGACAATTAATAGTGTCTTATGATACAATATGCATCTTTATATACATTTGGAGTTTTATAATCAGTACTACAAAAACAACTGTCACAATAAATTGAACTTTCAATTTACAAGGTCTATACAATAAAGGTCTCAAATGTCATAGGTCTGAATTGCCTCTTGGGAAATAACATATAAATAAAAACATATGATTTATGTCCAAATTGCTTTATAACCAAAAGAAGAATTATTTCATGTGCAATTGTGCTGCATAAAAGAACATACATAGTAAAGGTCTGGCCAGGATTCAAGCCTCCAGAACCCTCTCATTTAACTAGGATTTTCTGTATGCAGACAAAAATAAATACTAAGAGAGAAATAAAATGACAAAGTGTGAGATTGAACTTACTGTAAAAACAACTATTTAAGATGAGTTCTGGGATCCATACATAATCAGACTAATCAATCACCCCTTCATTCCAATTCTCCCTATAGACAGGTTCAATGAGAGTGGATATACAGAACAATGACCCTGAAACAGGGAACCAAAGATTCTATCATGTTTAAATTCTACTTTTATTAACATATTGGGATATTTCAAAAAGATTAATTATAAGAGTTCACATCTAGAAGATATTTCCCAAGCATTCTGTTCTTAGAAGTTTTAGTATATTAAGAAACATTACCTCTGTGTTAGTATAGTAAGTGTTCCAGGAAGAACGAAGAGATTCTTGACCACCAATATCCCACATTAAGAAACGTGTATTATTAATCACTATTTCTTCTACATTACTTCCAATTGTAGGTGATGTATGTACAACTTCATTCATAGAACTAGAAAAAAAAAAGTTCAAATATATTACAATTAGCAGGGAAGCTAGATTGTTTGAGCATTTTGTAATCAAAGGATAAATCAGCATGAGTTTTCATATTTTATATCCAAATGGCTCTTTCCCACTAGCTCAGAAGAGAAAGGTAAGGGTTGGGGCATCTGGGTGGCTCAGTCCTTAAGCATCTGACTTTGGCTCAGGTCATGATCTCATAGATCATGAGCTTGAGTCTCACACCGGGTGAGCACATGCCCTGCTTTGGGGGGAGCATGAGCTCCACTTCAGGTGAACACAAGCCCCGCCTCAGGTGAACCCCACTTCTCTGTCTCTGTCCTTCACTCACTTGTGCCCTCTTTTTCTAGAAAAAAAAAAAAAAAGGAGTGAGGTAAGGGTTTAAACAGGGATGGAACTAGGTAGTGGACGATCCGGAATACTCTAGATTGAATCCCAGAAACTATATAAACAATATTTCTCTACTTTCTATAAGTAAAAAAACTGAACAACATGCTCTACATCATATAAATTTCTAGCTGTCCTACAACAGTTGCTTAAATGTAGCTCCTGGTTTAGAGTCAACCTGACTTCTTACAGAATATTTTAGGTTCCATATAACTTTTTATTGCTTTTGCTAATCAAATATTACCCAGGCAGAAAAAATAATTATGAATGATAAAATAAAAATTTTAAACTAGTTAATACTTACAACTGGTAAAGAATGGTAGTTTTCCCTGCATTATCCAGCCCAACAATGATAACTTTGTGCTCTGAAATAAAAAAAAACATTAATCATTTATTAATTAAAAACAAAAATAGGCCATTTAAGTTCTAACCGTGAATTTTAGGCATCAACTGGGTACATAGTGGGGTGGGGTAAATTAGAAAAAAAGGTCAGCCTTTAAATCTGGTAGCAGAAGGCCAGGTCCCATCATAGATAACCGTAAACTGAGTACATTTAGACCACAGAATTGTTCTAACACCCAATCTAACCAAATTCTAAGGTTAGAATTTGTTCTAACCAAATCTAACGATGTATGGCTATGGTGGCAGCGACTCCCTCTCCCTTGGCTTCTATGACACCACTTTCTCCAAGTTCTCTTCCACTCTCTCTTGATATATATAGATTTTTTTACCACAGATTCCTCTTCCTTGGGTCTTCCTTCAAAAACATTCATGTTTCCCAAAGCTGTCTTCTTCCATTCTCTTCACATTTTATTTAGCAGGCGCTCTTAGGGCCTATCTAGTTCTATGCTATCTAAAAACTATTTCAAAGATAGTATGTGGAAGAAGCTCATTTCCAAAGATGGTGTCTGTATAGTCTCCTCCCTTCCCTGATTCCATGTGAATCTGAGCTGGTCCTGTGACTCACTTTTAACCAAAAGAATATAGCAGAAGTGATGCTGTGTGACTTCAAGCCTAGACCATTACAAACCTTGCAGCTGCCTGGCTCTCTTGGACAACTATCCTTGGAGTAAACTGGACACCATGTAACAAGTCCTACTATCCCCAAACCACTATATAAGTAAGTCAGAAAGCCTAAGCTGATCATGTGGCTTGACCCTGTGGAGACAGATCACCACATGGTTGCCCCAGCTGTTCTAGCCATTCCAGATGAGATGCCAGACACACAAATAAAGAAGCCATCTTGGATATGTAGCCAGGTCAAGCTATAGATGACACTAGTTCTAGATGTTAACTGCAACCAAATGAGAATCCCAAGCTAGAACTTCCTAGCTGAGCTCAGTCAAATCACAGAACCATGACAGATAAATGATAAATTATTGCTTTAAGTCACAAAATTTAGGAGCGGTTTGTTACACAGCAGTAGATAACACAAGCACTATGGAAAAAGACATGCAATTATGTGATCTTGGGCAAATGACTTATTTCTCTAATCCCTATGTTTTCTCGCTATAAAACAGGGACAACAATACCTATCTTTCAGAGTTGTATAATGATTAAGATAGCACATGAGCAGTGCCAACCACTAAGAAAGATTGTTCCTAATCCCAAATCTCTCCTAAACTCCAACCTATCTAGTAGACACAGTGCCACTCAACATATCCCAAACCCAACATTCAAACCTTTTTCTAATTCTATTCTACCTAATTTGCTTAATGGCATTACCACAAATTCAGTTGCCCCTGGAGCTTATTCAATGTTTCCCTCAACCCCAACAACTAATTTGTCACCAAGTTCTATGGATTCCACCTCAAAAATATATCCTGAACCTGCCTCCTTTCACCAGTCCTAGTTGTAGTCCTTCTCATTTCTTATTGTAAAACCTTCCCTATGTAGACTGTCTCCATTCCACCTTCCCACTGTTTTTACAGTAATTGTTCTACACTACAAAGCTGATACCACCACTCTTATTGAAATGGTGGCTCTCCATTTTGACAGAAAGATACGGCACAAGTTCTCAGCCTTGTAAATAAAGACAGTCATAACTGACTAAGCTCTGGCTTTATCTCTCACCACTACCACCAGGTACCTAGGCTGAAATTCAAGCCATTCTCCCCACATAAGCTGCCACATGTCTTTACAGCAAACATTTCTCTACCTCTACTCGGTTTTTCCCTGAGCCAGAATTATCTTCTCCAATTCTCCATTTAGGGAATTCCTACTAATCTTTTAAGTTTAGTTTTCCCCCCAAAATCAGTTTCTCATGCTTTTCCACAATATCTCTAACTAGCACTTATCATTAACTATTTACATATACACTAACTAATCTTCTCAGCCCAATGAGGCATGCTTTATGCGTATAGATCCCAGGCCAATCATCTTTATAATCCCAGTCACTACAACTTTTCCTGGCACAAGGTACTCAACAAATGTTGAATTAATTACTATTCATTCTATAAATAATAGATGTTGAAGATTGTAACACCTCACAGTAAGGATATCTTTGAGAAAAAGCCTTTTCAATGAGATGGCATAAGTTTTCCAATAGTTGCCATTTACCGTAGAGGGGAATTCCTATTATACAAAAATAGGAAGATCAAGTAAATAGAAAATTTTAATACAGTCTATTTTCTCCAATCACTCATATCTCTGAAGAGAGGGCAGGCAGCTTAGGACCACTAGGGTTCTAAAGGGAGATGATCATGTTTCCCCCATATAGGTTCTTAAAAACAATTTTAAAGATGCAGGGCCCAGTACATTTAATCTTTCGAGGTGACTAGGGTAAAGGAACTGAGAAAATGATCAAATACAAAGATGATACTTATTTTAAATAAAGGGTTAATAACATGTAGAGGGCTTGCTAAGGGAAGTTCAGTTGAATGAACACCAAAAGGCCTCATCAAGTGATGTTTCTCTGGTGAATTTACCTACTGCATGGCCCTTCATCTCCCAGGTCCACAAACTCAATCCTGCTAGTATCTCAGAGTAGACAGGGCTCAGAGAAAGCAACTCACAGAAATGACATATACACAAGAATGCCAAAATGAGTAACATACAATGAGATCAAATGTTCAAAACTAACCTGGCAAGTGCAGTCTCTCCCTAAGGAAAAGCAATAGGGTGGTCAGATTATTTGGGGAACATGGGCTCCCGTCAAAGGGTGTGTTTTATAAGCTTAATGACTGGATATATCCATCTTCACATTAGGGCCATACCTGCATCAGGGCCAGATTATAGAGTTCTTGAAGGAAGGTACCATTTTACCTGGAAAGTTTTTAAAATGCATGGCAATTCTGCCTAATTCTGTATTTTTCTATGCCCCCCAGAATAAGCATTCTTCTTTTAATGGTGTATCTCTTCTTCACTTCTATTACTACAACCACCTATAAACATTTTAATTAAGCAGAATTCACATCAGGCTATATACTGTGATCTCTGGCTTGGATGAAAATTTTTAGCTTCCCACTTGAATACTAATTTTTAATAATACCATTCTCAAAATGCCAACTATTTTTAGTTTCAGGAATATCATTTTCTAACCTCCACTGTATCACCTGGACTAAATTTAGACAGACTAGACTAAGACAGACTAGACAGACTAGACCTTAGGCCAATACTCAGGAAGAAAATACAATTAATCTGACCCATGTGAGAAATATCATTCTAAAAAGTATCAAATTAATAGGGGCAAAAAAGAAACAGTACAAATATAGGCAAGAATCTATGACAAATAACTATAGACTGACTTAAAAAAGTGTGTGTGTACAAATAACACATACAGACACCCCAAATACAAAAAGCATTGTCTGTTACAAAGTCCTTCATCACTTAAAGAGGCTGGAGTTTTATTCTAACCATGCTTCCATTTTTCAAAGTATTTTGCTACATTTCATTTGTAACTGCTATCAGAGCCTGTGGTACACTGTTTTGAGCATTCACACAGAGCCCCTTAACAGCTGAAGACCCCTTAACAGCTGAAGATGAATTTGAATTTAAAGGGGGATGGGAGCCACTTGGTATTATCTCAGCCATAAAGTAAAAGATGGTTCAAATGAGTGCTATCTTTTTTCCATTAAATGAAGTGTAACCCCTAAATGATAAGAATGATTTAAAGATTTGTCTAAAAAATTCTAAAAGGAGTTTCTAGGGGCACCTGGTTAAGCGTCGGTTAAGTGTCCGACTCTTGATTTCGGCTCAGGTCATGATCTCATGATCAAGCCTCACTTTGGGCTCTGCTTGGGATTCTCTCTCTCCCTTGTTCTCTAAACAAATAAACTTAAAAAAAATAAATAGGGGTGCCCAGGTCACTTAGTTGGTTAAGCGTCCAACTTGGGCTCAGGTCATGATCCCACAGTTCAGAGTTTAGGCCCTGTGTTTGGCTCTGTGCTGACAGCTCAGAGCCTAGAGCCTGCTCCGGATTCTGTCTCTCCTTCTCTCTCTGCACCTCCCCTGTTCCCACTCTGTCTCTCTCTTTCTCAAATATAAACATTAAAAAATAGTAATAATAAATAAATAAAAGGCGTTTCAATACATATTTCGAGTAATAGCAGGCATATATGTAGAAAAGCTCTCCAGCCTTCTAAAAAGCTTTTGGGGCACCTGGGTGACTCAGTCAATTAGGCATCTAACTCTTGATTTCAGCTCACATCACGATTCCAGGGTCGTGGGATTGAGCCCTGCATCAGGGTCCACACTGAATATGGAGCCTGATTAAGATTCTCTCTCCCCCTCTCTAAAATAAAATTCTAAAAAAACATTTTTTAATAAAGTAAAATAAAATAAAATGATAGCTTTTAAGGTGAAAACTTACCTAGCTTTGTTTTTTAAAACGGTCTCCTTATTTTAGCCATGCCCCATAGGACTTATTTCCTGATTCCAACCATAGTACTTTTCTACCACTTCTCTAAGGAAGGACTACTAGACAAAAAAAAATACTACAGAAAGATTCTTTATCATACCTGACCACAAGCTGAACATAAGCAAGGTAAAATTGCTGTGAACAAAACCCACTGTGCAATAACACACAGACATAAACTGAGATAAAGCACATGGCAGAAGAGGCTCATACCAGAGGATTCCATCTTCTCATAACACAAGTTAGTTGCCTGCTGAGGACAGGATGTGATTTTTACAACCACTGCATAGAATGAACTAGAGAATCAATAAGATGGAATCAGATAACAACATATCCTGTTGTGGATAAATATTTAAACTGCCCTAAGTCTGTCTTCAGTAGTGCCTAGAAAAAAAAAAAGGATACTGGGAAGAGAAGGCATGGAGGATAGTAACAAGATGAGGATTCTTGTCTGGCATGGTGGAAAATAAGAGACAAAAGCATCAAAGATGGTGAGAGGGGAAGTAATGT